AAATTTTTAATAAAAAAATGAAAAACAAAAGAGTAATAAAAATTAATTAAAAGCTTTTAATCCCGGTTTATTAATTTTTTAAATCAAACTCATTGAAATTTTTCCTCCCTCCCCTTCTTTCGATTTCCTATAGGGGTGTTCATGGGACGAGACGGGACAGGGATGACCCTGTCCCAGTCCCGTCCCGATAATTTGGACGGACGACTTTTCCGTCCTGTGTCTTATCTCGTCCCAATAGTATTCCGTCCTAAGTGGGACGGGACAGGAAAGTCACATTTCTCTCTGTTTTTTTTTAAATTTGAAAACTAACTATACATGAAATGTAAAAACTTATAATAAAAATTATGTGAGGAGAAAATAGATAAACACGAGGAAACAATGACAAAGAAATTTTTTTTTTTTTACAATAATGAGAGAAAAAAATAAACAAACCTAAAATATTTACTACAAAAAATACCATGTAACCCATACAAAAACAACTTATAAAAAAAAAAAAATAACAATTGATAAAATATATTACCAAAAAACTATTATAATGGTAAATAAAATAAATTTATAACAGCTAACAATAAAGATAATATACTAGGATGGGACCAGGACAAGACACCTCGTCCCGAAACAATTTTGTCTCATCCCACTTTTGTCTCATACCAAAAACTTTTGGGACAAGATTCTCCCGTCCCAAAATGACTGAGATAGGAAGGAGACACTGGGATGGGACACCTTTAGATTTCCCTCATACCAAACACACTTTATTAGGGCAATATTTTTTTTTAAAAAAATATTACATTAACTAATTTAATTATTATTCTTAATCTAATTAAATTAATTAATTAAGTCTTGAGCATCAGCGGAGTAACAGTTTTCTGTTTCAGTTAACGTAAAACAATTGGTTTGTTGTTCCCAGCATTTCTTTCTTCTATTGAACAAGACTACCATCAAATCTTGGTGCACCTGAAAATGCCAGTCAGGACGATATCAAGAAGGCATTTCACAGAGTGAACTAATTATTTCTGTTATATACTCTTGTGAACTTTTATTTTAACTGAAGATGCGAACTTCAGATTCTGAGAACATAGAATATGTAAATTGTTCCTTCGATCACATCTCTGTCTGTAGTAATTAGTTTAGGAGGCAGTCTGTTTGGTGTTCCCCCCTGCATAATTTTATTAGAGTGGAGCATTTTTTCATAATGGAGATGGCTGAGGCTATTCGCATAATGCAAAGGCAATTGTTTGTCCAACATGCAATACATATATGAGAATAAAATGGTGAGAGATAGTTGGAAAGTACTTATGATTCTGCTTTGAAACCACCAAAAAAACCAAGCAGGACAACCCCAGCTCGAGAAGAGAACCAGTTTCAAATGAATCTGGTTCAAAATTTCACCTCTTTTTTATTTTGTTTCCCATTTTTCCCCCACCACTCTGTCTTCCTTTTCTTTCTCATTAATGATAAATTTGTGTTTTCTTCATCGTCGTGGACGTACAAGAAAAAACTGATTAACTTGGTTAGAAAATAATTGAAATTAAATTATCAGCATCAGGTTTAGGATTGCAAGTAGCTTTATTTTATATATGTGACAGCTAGAAAGCGTCGGGGAAGAAACAATTAAAGAGAAGCACATGGTGCGTTCTAAAAATTTTTTTTTCTCAGTTAGCCTGGAATGAAATTATATGGCATCAATTTAAATACGTTAGATGTAAAATGTGACCACAAAATATTTTAGCATGTTGAATGCATATAAAAAAAATAATTTAAGATACTGTATATACACTTTAACCCTTTATTTTATATTATCTGTAAAATGGAAAGGTATTAGAAAATAAATAGAGGAGAAGAGGAGAAGAGGAGAAAGACATCCTTATATATAACATGAGAGATGGTATATTAGGAGGGCGTAAACTCTCGTGTTTTAGGAAATTTTTCCTTGATATATTTCAAATATCACGGAATATTCTTTTTTTTTCTTTTTTAAATGAGAATCTAGTCATAAATCTGCGATATCTGATAATAAATCAAGTCCTAGTTTATTTATGTATCTTAATTAAGTGAAGATTCTAATTAAAATAGCTCAACACATCAATTATATCATATCCAAACCCAAAATCCACCAATAGGAATATAGAATATTAGTCAATTTCGTAAAAAGATCTTTACCCTAATGATTGAATTTAAAAAATATAACATAAATTAAATAGGCATAAAATATTTTACAATTTTTGTTGATTAGTACGTAATAACATTAATCAAACAAAGTGAAACAATGACAAAGTTGTGAGTTAAACTTTTTTCGACAACCCCCGCCTCATGCCTGCAATTGGAGGCTGATTAAGGATATAAAAATAAGCCACCATACTATATGTAGGCTTGGTGGCGATGGTCAGGGTCTTACTGACCATGATAGCAGATGATTGTTAAAAGGAATGAGATCGTTAGGATGGTTCTTTAAAGCCCCATCCCTTGTTTCAAACATAGTTTCCGAAGCTTATGAGATGTTGATGAGCATGAAGAAGATGAGTATCCCTCTGAAGCCTGATATTTACTCATATATTGCTGTAAAGTGGGAGACTAGATGAAGCCATGGAATTACTCGACGAAGCTGAGAAATTGAGGGGACTAAAACCACATGTAATCACTTTCAAAACCATGTTTCAAGGGTATTCTAGGGAAGGGACCCCGTTAAAGTATATATTTGTTCTGAAAGTGTTGAAGAACAAAAATTGTGTCCCTGATTAAATAAGCCGTGCCATTTTGAAGATTGTGTAGGGAATAAAAAAAGGTTTGCTTTAGATGGACGCCAGGTGTTTGAGAAAATGACCAAGAGAGATTCAATTGTTCTAGACCAGAGGACATATGAACTGATGGTTCAAGCACTTTGTGCTCGAGGACAGAAGCAGCATTGTCAGCTTTGGTTTTGATGGATGAAAGGGAAGAATTCCCAATGGACTGTGTTTTGATGAATTGATGAAGAGCTCAATGCACGAGGAAGATTGTTTGGTGCGTCCAATTTGTCTTGTGGCGCAATGAAGCGGGGTGTCGTTCAAGTAAAACTCGTCATGTAAATCCATTCACTTGCTGTATCATTGAATTTGTTCAAGTGATATAGCATTTGTATTGAAACAAAAAAAAATCCTCTTACTGTATGTCATGCTTCTGTTCTTGCCCTGAGCCTATAACTTTGAAGCAACTCATCATACTTGGTTGAAGAGTAAAGAATAGTTTGTGAGACATTTATATATATTTCGTCAACAAACCTCAATTTTAAGTACTAAAAACCATGTAACTGACAAAAAGTATTAGTTCTGCAGCAATTGCATGCAATAATTAATATAAAATGCACAGCGAATACAGTGCAAATTAAGGTACAAGGTATAGGAAATCATATATTGAGCTTAGGGCTCTCTTGTAAATTCCATAATAACGCAATTTGTGAGCAAAGAACCTGTTCAAATTCTCTCTCTCAGATTCATTGAAGCCTTGAAACTCAATCTCCACTTCATAATGTCTCCAGCATTTTACGGGAACATTATAGCAGCACTCTCCCACCTTCAAATTCGTCATCTCCACTTTCTTACCATATTTAAACTGCAATATTTTCAAACATCCACTTCAGTTGCTGCCATTAAATTTAAGATATAAGGCACTTACTCATAGGACAATGGAAGAATTCTTTCCACCAAGAGTAAAGCTATATACGTCATACGATACACTGACAGAGATTGAGGAAATACAAATCAAACATTTATATGTGCATAGTTGAGTACGTAAAAGAACAATGAAACATACGTTAAGGTGCACATTGTCTTTGCGGATTGGGAGGATATTGTTATCGTCCATGGTATCCACACCATCTTAAGCAAACTTTTCAACAATAATATGAGAAAATATGGATCATCTCTTGGTAAGGTATCATCAGTCGCTTCTAGTTTTAGGTGCCTCAAATCATACAGTGAAGATACATTAACTGGCTGAGAAGGAAGTTTTGGACAAATGATAAGCTGCAAAATAAACCAAAGCAAACAAAATGAATGCCGTACATCAAATAACGAAGGGAACTATATATACTTTGTGAGCTCTATTTTGGGTTTGTGAAAATAAATACGCACCTCAAATTTCCAGCAAGTTATAGTGAGGTCTTTGAATTGATTAGAGCAACAACAAAGGAAGTTCCTTAAAAGGGAACCATCATGTGTGTATGGAAGAAATGGAGGAATTAATGAGATGTTTGCACTGCATTTGGCTGATGTAATTAATTTCGGGAGCTCTCTGATTCTGGGGACGTAGTAGAACTCAAGTAAGTTCGGAGCATCAATAAGTATCTCAATCTGTTCATAACCGAGTATATACAATGACAACTTCTTAAGGCTAGAATCGAACTTGTCCGTTATAACCGTTGCGTCGGTCAGTTTCAAAACCTTAAGATCACGGCAAAAATCAATAACTAATGCGCATTGTCGGAGATCATCATATTGGTGACCCTCAGACCTGAAATTGTTCAAACTTTTTCCCTCCAATAATATTTGACATGCTTCCAACTGTCGGCAGGATTTTAGCTTAACTCTCTTCAGAGATGATGAGGATGAAACATGTATAGCTTGAAATCCATCACAGTACCTGAATAGTAGTTCTTCCAATTTTGGGCATGTTATAAAAGCATCAACCAATGGAACTCTTACCCCAGCAAGCCGGAGCACAGTCAAGATTTGTGAGGAAAATACAGGACGAAGTGAATCATATTTCATACGTCTGCGACTTATTTCTATGTGTAGGGTTGGTAATGAAAGCCAAGTAGAATAAAAGGATTTGGATAAGACACTGAACTTGGCTGCTTCCTTAGAAGGAAGCAAATACATGATTTGGTGGATGACATGATCAGGCAGATTTTCCAGCTTTGTGTTATTGTTTACAGTGTAATCAACTTTGGGCTTTTTTCCAGCTTCCATCTCCTCAATTTGCTTATATCATATGGGTTTCATCCTAGCATTCATATCAAATATGAAATATATTAGAAACATAGCTATAGACATACATAAAATATATAAGATAATGCTTCAAATGTAAGCTATTGATAATAAGGGTTCTGCAGTAATCACCACTAATAAACCACCGATAATAAACAAGAATAAGAGATGATTGTGTATAAACATACCTGCTGGATGGTTATTATCTCAAAATGATTGTTTCTGCTTTGTTTGTTTTGCCAGTTCTCCTTTAAGCTAAAAGTATATATCCTTGATTTCTATCCGTAGGAGGAGGAATTAAAAAAGAATAATTCAGGCACTTTCCCTTCCTCACCAGATCCTTTGATAGCAGCGTGATTTGCAAAATCTTAAATTAAGTGAGAATATTTTAAAATCCGTAACAGATACTTGAAAAATTCCATCCATCTCTAGTTTTCAAATTTCAATCGTTTTTGGATTTTTTAGTGATAATCCTTTAAAAAGAGTATTATCATTTGAAATCAATTTTCCTTATTTTCATTATCTACCCGTTCAAATGGAATTATTAAAAGATAAACATTATTCGAAAATAAGACTCAGTCAAAAAAATCAAATAAATGGTTGGTTTATCCAAAGAGAATTCAGTTTTTTTTTATGATTAATTCTTTTTTTTTTGTATTGATTAATATTTTTAATATGAAAAATATTTGTGTATGCTTATATATTACAACTTATCATCAAAAGTGAATGTGAATGAGGCGCTCTGTATCTGTATTACGAAGGATTTTATTGCAAGTACGGGATAATCGATATTCATTCTCGATTCCCTTATTTCTGCGTATTTGCAAGTACGGGATAATGGTTGGATTTGTATCAACCATACATACTTCGGAAAATTACTAGTTCCTATTTTAATTCCATAGTTCGTTGATATATGAATATATAGCTTGATCTCACTTGAACAATGCTTGTTAGTTTCAAATCTTGTAGTAGAGGCACACAAGTTAATTTCTTTAGATCTAAAATCAATCCTTCGCCCTTTTGGTTACATAGAAATTTATTAATAATTCAACTCACATTGCACCATCTTAGAGGCTTCCTGGCATGGCGATTCATTCTCATAGTACGTAGTAGGGGACCATGTTATCTACCTTCTCGTTGGTCCTTCCTCCATTCCCATGGCTTCTCAGGATTTGATGAAGCCCATAGTCCGACCCGCTTTGCTTTAGCTTCCTTTTCCCACTATAATAACACACAATATCTAATAAGGAAACACACAATGCAACTCCCAATTAAGATTTTAAAGGATTGGCAAAGCACAAGTTACTGACTATTTCAAATTCCTTCCTCTTGTCATAGGCTGCATAATGCCATGCGAGTCCCTTCTTTAGCATCAACTCCTTGTCAATCAGCCAAAAAGAAAGAAAATTAGATTAGTTTTGAGTTCAACAAAGCTTAAGCAAGCTAGATTGGGAGTAAGGTGATACCTGTACAAAAAGACCATTGCAATAAATATCACCCACGGAACGTCCATAACGATCCATAACGAACCTGGAACAAGCATGACAAAGGTGTAAGAGCAAGCATATAATCAGGAATGGAAAAAACAGAGTACTTATATAATTTTATTCAAGGATTAAGATTTATTTAATTGATTTTCAAAGATTAAATATGGCTAATAAAAAATTTATGTTATTAGTCTCTCTCTCTCTCTATATATAAAATATATACCCTGAATAGAGTAAATCCGATCAAAATGAGTTTGATAGATAATATCTCAACATACAAAAGCTTCTATCCAAGTATACTTAAGCCTATCCGTGACTCCACCTTCTAATCTCATTTTATAGCAGAAACCATCAAAGATTGTGAATGAATCAGATACAGAACATTAGAACACGAACGGAGGGATGAAAAGTGCAAGACAGAGCAATAGTCCACTGCACAAGTTCAAAGAAAGACTGTTCGATGCTGCTCACCTTCGGGAAACCTTAGTTTTGTTCGACGGCAGCACACCACTCTACACGACGGGCGACGCAGGGGCAAGATACCACTCTACTCCAGAGTTTAGACGAGAATGAAAGCTGGGCCCGAAAGAGGGAACAACAATAATTCAGGCCCTCTCTTTTCCTCATCAAATCAAATCCTTTGATAGCAGCGTGATATTGGAAAATTCTATCAATATCTAGTTTTCAATTGTCGTTGGATTTTTTAATGATAACCCTTTTTAAAAAAAATTATGTTATAAATGCTGTAATATTAAGTATGGGTGAGTATATCCTTTTAGCAATTTTTTTTTGAAATTCTTCAAAAAAATTTAGACAAATTTTAGTTATTTAGTATTATGAAATGTGAATCAGTAAATAAAAAGTATTTTAATATAAGTTTTAATTAAAAAAATTATCTTTTTAGAATATTCTTTATAGAGCTAACGATTTGGACTGAAATGTATATTTTCAAAATAGAGGAGAAGTCAATGTAATTAGTAAGGGAAGTTAGAGTACTTTACTTAAAAAAATGAATTGTGGAGAAGAATACCAAAGTAATTGTAAAGCCAAAAAGATATAACCAGCAAGAAGGCTATATGATGAACTGATGGTCAATTTTTATTGGTTTTTAAATTTATTGCGACTCATTTGTGATGGGAAAATTATTATTAGTATTTGATATTTTGATATTGGCAAGTTTGAATATAATCTATTGGTTTTTAACCCTTTATTTAATTATGAATAGTTGATGTTGATCTTCATTTATGCGACAAGATTAGTTTTACAATATATATAAACTATATATATTACAAGTCCAATTTATGGATGCCCAAATTGTTGGGATGATTTGAAAGAAAAGCACATATATAATAATAATTCATTATTATGTATATTCTATTCCATTATTATGTATTCTATTGAGGAGGTTTAACCTAATCACTAACTTATGGTGCCCAGTTTATTGTAATGCCTTAATAACTTTTCTTTAACTTCCTATTTTTCTTTATGCGTTGAAAAATGTTAGCAATTTATTACGCCATTTATAGAAGGTTTTGCTGTGTTTAGTTAATATATACATATATTAATTTGAATTATAAATATATATAGTTTTGAAATATATCGTCAGGGAAAGCAGCCATTGGTTTCATTATGTGGTTGCGAGTGTGGTTCGTGAAAATTTTATTGAGGAATTGATTTAAGTAATGATTATTGATTTTGTTCAATAATTTTTATATATTTGGGTTGTGATATGCAATTCTATCTATTATGATTTACTGGGTTATCACAAATATTATGAGAAATTAAGGTATATTATGAACTTCTTTTAGCTAAAAGAGGTTGAAGCCATAGCTACATATATGTTACCTCCAATTTTTCATATAAGATCTAGTTAACTAATTTGAATAGATTAAGAAAATTAGTTAAATTAGTTATTTGTAATAAATAGATATTGTCTTTCCTAAAATATCCTTGCTAATCAAATGTATTGGCTAAAACTATTATTATTATAAGAACTATTTAAAAAAAAAAAGAATAAATATAAAAAACAAAATAAATTAGAATCATATATTTATAATCAAAACAAAAATTAAATAAGCTGTTATATTAAGAAGTGGAGCTAGTATATTAGAATAAAATGGTGAGAGATAGTTGGAAAGCGCTTGTGGTTCTGCTTTGGAACCACAGAAAAACCAAGCAGGACAACGCACAGCTTAAGAAGGGAATCTGGTTCAAAATTTCACCTCTTTTTTGTTTTGTTTCCCTTTTTCCCCACGACTCTGCTTTCCTTCTCTTTCTCATTACTGATAAACTTGTGTGTTTTCTTTGTCGTGGACGTACAAGAAAAGACTGATTAGCCTGGTGAGAAGATAATTGAAATTAAATGATCAGCATCACGTTTAGATAGAGGTTTGGAAGTAGCTTTATTTTATATATGTGGACAGCTAGAAAGCCTCGAAGGAACAAATTAGAGAGAACCGCATGGTGCGTTCTAAATTTTTTTTTTCTCAGTCAGCTTGGAATGAAATTATATGGCATCAGTTTAAGTACATTAGATGTAAAATGTGACTACAAAATACTTTAGCATGCTGAATTTATATCAAAAAATATTTTTTCTTTTTTGTTATAAGGGGCGGGATCGAACCCGCACGCACACACTCCACACACACGCATACTACTAGGCCAAACAGGCAGTGGTTATATCAAAAAATAATTTAACGTACTGTATATACATCTTAACTTTTTGTTTTATATTATCTGTAAAATGGAAAGGTATTAGAAAATAAACAGAGGAGAAGGGGAGAAAGGCATCCTTATTTATAACATAAGAGAGATGGCATCTTAGAAAGGTGTAATCTCTCATGTTTTAGGAAACTTTTCCTTGACATATTTTAAATACCATGAAATAGTTTTTTTCTTGGTTTTAAATTAACAATCTCGCCGTAAATCTGCAATATCTGATAATAAATCAAATCTTAATTTAATTTATATATTTTAATTAAGTGGAGATTCTAATTAAAATAGCTCAAATAAGTGAATAACCCATCAATGGCATTATATCCAAACCCAAAATGCAACAATAGGATATGAGTCAATTTGGCAGAAAGATATTCCTTTTTACGCTAATGATCAGATTTAAAAAATATATGAATAAATTAAATAAGCATAAAATATTAAAAAAAATTTGTTGAACAAATACATAATAAAATTAATCAAACAAAATGAAACAAACGACAAAGTTGTGAGTTTTTTTTTTTTGGGTTTACTTTTATCAAAATGATTATATAGTTTGAAATGAAAATAGAACAAGAAAGAAATTAAACTGAGCGTGAATTAAAAATGACATGATGTTGCAGATTATGACAACACATGAGAGATGGCAAGCTTTTGGAGGATATAGCACCGACTCAAATGATCTCATGTTTATTCTGAGACGATAATCTCTGGTCCAATTTGGAGGGACCAAATTAGATGTGTTCTTGGCTTCTAACAAATCAGAACAAGTTTGCGACTTTAGGATCAGAGGAAGCTGGCTCGACCGATCTTGTTCTGTTTACGCTGGCGAATCCAACACCATTGACATTGTTGCCCAGGCACTTGTAATGAAAGCTCTTCTTATTCCCATAAAGATTTAAAAAACTGTTGTTATATATACTATTCTTTGTTTAATACTACCTCCAGTCCTTAATATAAGATCCCGTTTGACTTTTAGTTTGGTCCTAATTATAAGACCCCAATCCATTTTATCTCTTATATTTATGCATTTTTTTCTAAGATAGTCCTTCTAATAATGAAAGTTCTAACCAATACACTTAATTAGTAAGGATATTTTAGAAATAACAACACTTATTTATTACAAATAACTAACTTAACTTATTTTCTTATCTCCTCAAATTAGCCAACTGGGTCTTATGATTAGGACCGGAGGTAGTATAAGAGCTAGTTAGGAATTGGATTTAATACTAAATGTAAGATATTAATCAATTTTGTCCTCCAAATTTGTATTTCATCCTTTAAAATATCCTCATTGATTACACATCTCAAGGGTTTAATTTCCGTCAAAAAATAATCATGATTAAAAAATGTATTTTGGAGAAATGAATTCTTATTTCATACAAATAATTAATTTAATTAGTTTTTTAATCTATATTCAAATTACTTAACTATCTTTTATATTAATGACTAGTGAAAAATGATGGGAATATTATATTGCAGATGCATAAGAAGCACACGGTTGGAAGCGTTGTGTTTGGGAAAACAAACTTCATGGTGACAGTGTACCCAAACGTGGACCACGCTTTTTGTAGTGGCACTCATTGTAATTTTGGACAAGATTAACCCGACAGAAGAAGACGGATTGATTCCTAATAATAGTTGCTCCTGATTTGTCTACGGAGTTTCTTGCAGATGTGTGTGGTTTTATTTTAATCTGAGGGCATTGTTATTTTGGAAAATTTTATGTGAATTAATTTGATTTTTTATTTCATTAAAACAAGAAATTTCTCCCCCAAAACACATATTAAAATACTGGATTAAATTTTAAATTCTAATAAATTGCACTGTCTAAGGTAGTTCAAGATTCATTATGGGAGTATAATTTTTTTATTAATTTAAATAAGATTTGAATTAGAGATGCAGAATTTATGGAGAATATATAAAAATTAAAATTATTTATTTATTTTTCTATTTAAGCTCCTAATCGGTATATTATGTAATTATGATACTTCCTATTTAATTCAATATATTGAAATTCTAATTAAGATATTATTCAAATTCAAAATTAATGATTATTTTTTTCATTTGAGCCTCCAATTGAAATCTCATATAATAATGATGCTCCTCATTTAATTCAATATACTCAAATTTCAATCAAAACATTATTCAAATTTCATTGATTGAATATGTTTGATCTTATAATATCATACCTAACTCGTTGTTAAATGAATAGAATATTACAAATTTTTAAAAATATAATTGATAGTTGATTGATGATGATTGATTCATTGATAATAATTGATTATTAATGATTGATTGATAGTTAATAGTTGATTGATTTCTCAAGTCTTAAATGACATTTCTACAATTCAAGTAATAACTTTGAAAAATCTCTCTTTCCAAAGCTACTTGATTGATATTCTACCTATGATTTTTTTTTCCCCCTTATGTGGGGGCATGATTATTTATGAACAGATTATGCCTTAAAATTTCAATATCACATCCAATAGAAATTTAAATCAAGTTTCATACATTAAAAAAAAAAATTTTAGCCAACGTTCATACATAATTTTTGAAGTATTAACAAGTCCTGATATCATATCTGACCCCAACTTTAAAGCGTAGAATTACAAGAATCCTTTTCATACGTCCCCAAGCGCTAACTTGTACATTAATGAGTTAATTAGTTGATGCTTAAATATTGCATAACATTAACTAAAAATTGACCAATACTTTGTATGTCAAATAAATAATCGAAAAAATTAGTTTTAGCGGGATTTTTTTTTTTTGCCTTTTGTCAGTTCATAATTTTAGACATTTTTATGGTAAAAGTACAGTTTTTATTTTTAAATTT